CCCCGCGACGGCTCCGTCCCAGCCCGGAGTCCCAACACCAACAGGTGGTCCCTCCCGAGGCTACCTGCAAATAGAATTAGCCGTGCTGCCGGGCTCCCGGCGCGGCCCCATATGCCGCCCCGCACGGGGAAGGGCCCCGCAGGGTACGGCCGGGTAGGGTTACGGGGAGGGGGGGGGGGGAGGGTGGGCACGACCCATATGTTCTGCGAACAGCGGCGGAGACACCGCACCTCTGCACCTCAGTTCCCCGAGATGAGGGAGAACGCTTCACGCCTCATCCTTGCAGTCTCCCCACGTTCGGAACCGGGCACGGCACGTGTGCTGGGACACGGCAGGGACAAGAGCTGCAGGAGTGGCACAGCCCCGAGGTGCCGTGTCCTTGCTGCCCGGGAGCCGGGCTGCTTTTTGCACTTCCATAGGGATAGACAGATGTTCCGTGTGCCCCGATGGCCTGCAACCCCCGACAGCAGCAGCGCATGGCTCTGCCCCGCTCCCGCACGCGGCGGTACGGAAGGGGCCGACAATTTCTAGTGGTGCCACCGAGCTGAGATGCTGCAAGAGCACAGCGCTCACCCCGGAGCCTTTTTGCCCTAAAAGATGGATGTAAATGCAAAATAGCGTTTCCCTTCTTGCATTCATCCCTATTCTTGGGATTGTCTTTAGAAGTTTTGTTCCCCCATTTATCTTCACTTGTTGGAGATGTCTTGACAAACTCCTGAGAATCAATTTCCCATCAGCTTTTCGCCTCCACTCCTTGAACTGGCAGGTCAGATCCCACCATATGCATTAGAAGAGGTTATCGGGACGGGCCACCCCGCTCCTTTGTCCCCGCTGATGCGTGTCCCGGTCCCAGTGTCATGCACACGCAGGGAGCTGAGCTCCTCTCGGGGCAGCCCTCAGCTCCCTGCCCGTCATCAATCACCGAACCCCGCTGCCAAAACCAACACAATCGGCCCGGGCCCGATACGCGGGGTGTTTCCTGCGAGTCAGAAGCGTGCCTTTTACTTTAATGTATTCCCAATGTTGATCCTATTAGCAGGAAAAATCAATCAATCACTGTCACCAACCATCAGCAGACTGCAGATTGATCGCGGCGTCGGGGTTGCTGGAGAATCCCGCAGATGCAGCAGGCATTTGTTAAATGCTATTTTCAGGAAGACGTATACATATATGTATAAGACACATATTTATGCACAGCTTTGTCCGCTTAAAAAAAAAATAAATAAAAAAACCTGTTCCTTTTTTTGTGTTGTTGGTTTCTTGTTTTTTGTTTTTTTTTTTTTTTTTTTTTCCTTCCCTTCAACAAAACCTGGCACAATTTTAGTTGTGTTTAAAAAATCCCTTGTACTGAGAAATTAGTGGGGTTCTAGGAGGGGGCTTTTTGTTCCAAGTCCCTAAGCATGGCTTGGAGCTGTTCCCAATATGAAGTTTCTCTCCACATGCTCACTGCCCCTTTCACAAGGAAGGACCCAGCTCTGCTGCGTGGCTCAGGTGAGCTGAGGGTGCAAAGGGGACACCTACGGGTCTGTCATGTGTGATGATACTGTGGGAAGGAAGGAAGCATTGGCCATCTGATGGGAAAACCCGCACAGGGACAGGGCTTACAGCCCCAGTGTTATTCAGATCCTTCCATGCCATCACCTGGCAGTGGTGGGAAACAGCCCCTGCAGCCATCCTACCATCCCGAGGGGGGGGAGGGGGGTTTCACTCACATGCGAAAATGCCAAATGCTGGTGAAGAACAGGGGAGACAATGAAGGCAAAGGGGAGAAGGGGAAAGGCAAACACCCACTCGTGGCACGTGTGTCCTATAGAAGGGAGAACCCCACGAAGGCGGGCTCTGGGAAGCGAGGTTTGCATGGAACACTGTAAGCGCAGCACTAAGGTTTCAATTCTACTTTCAAGTCCATGGGGGAAGAACGGTTAACAAACTGCCCCTAATCCTGACCGTGCAAAATGGTCCTTCGGAAAAACGTAAGGATGCTCGCAGAAATCCTCTCGGTCACACCGAGTCTGTTAGTAAATGAACTTCTAATGTGTTGAAAACATATTCATTATAATGTATAAAGAGGCAATTTTCATTTTGTTTGTGTTCTTAAGAGTGTGACAGCGTCTTGTTTGCAACTGCCCCTGGGTATAAGCTATCATTGTGTGACTTAATTAGATATTCTACATGCTAGTGTGAGGGACATATGTCTATTCACTGTAACAAACATCAAGAGTCTGCCACATGCTTTAATGTTTCTGCTATGTTGAAATAAAGGCAGAGCAAGTGCAAGCTCTCCCAAGGACCTGTGGCCCCAAACAGCTTGAACACAACCCGCCGGCATTCACCGATTGGTTACAGTTTATTAACAGCCCATAAACTTCTCATCTGCTCCTGGGCGCTTGGTAGGGTTGTCACCTGCAACTGCCAAGAGTGGCACAATTGCTGCAGACGTGCGGCCGTGCTGCTCGGAGCCCGGCTTTGATGGTTCTCTCCTCCCAGCTCCGGCAGCACTGACTTTGCACGGGATGCAAGGTTGTGTGAAGGTGACCCAAAATTAAAAAAAAAAAAAAAAAAAGTTAGAAAGCTTGGTAAGGAGAGCTGGGAGAGAGCAGGTTTTCCACCATCAGGAGATCCGCAGGTGCCAGTGCTGCAGGAAAATTAGCCCTTGCCTAGACAGCTCACAGATAGCAGATCTACACAGGAGCTCCCCAGGAGTGCCATGGGGCTGCCCAGCCTCTGAGTGCCCCTGCAGATCCACTTTCTGTGGCTCTGTTTTTTTCCCACCCTCCTAAGCAGGACGGATGCCAGCAATGGGGAGGTGAGGGCAGGCATGGCACCCCACTCCAGCACACCAGTAACTGAACGTGGGGAAACCAAGTATGGTAATGGTGGGATTTCATGATTTGTTTACCTATCCACAGTCCAAATGCAACACCTGCAGTTGGGAGAAACAAGCCCCATACGTGCAGCTTTCTTGGAAATGTGTGTTCATGTCACCTCAGGACTGATGGGCAGTGAAATAGGGAGAAAACCCTGCTGGCAGCAACCATCCTGAAAACATCACATTTGTTCAAAGGAGTCTGTGGAAGGACTTGGAGTTTTACTGTTGATCTAGCTCCTCGCATCTCTGAGTTATTTTAAAGAGGAGAAAGCACTCTGAACATTTTTGATGAAACATAGGTCTCCCTATGTACACACCTGATCTTTCCCTAGCAGAAGCTTCCAAGATCCCAGTTGAGGACCCATATTTTATCATAGATTCATTTGAGTTGGAAGAGATCCTTAAAGGCCATCTGGTCCACTCTCCCTGCAATAAGTAGGACACTCACAGCTCCACCAGGTGCTCAGAGCCCCGTCCAGCCTGACACTGAGTTGCAGGGATGGGGCACCCACTGCTTCTCTGGGCAACCTGTTCCACTGCCTTATCACCTTCATTGTAAAAACTTCTTCCTGATATCCAACCTCAATCTCCCCTCTTTTAGTTTGAAACTATTTCCTCCTATCACAACAGACCCTGCTAAAGAGTGTGTCCCCTTCTTTCTCATCTTTTCTCTCTTTTGTGGAGGCAGGACCCATGGGCACTTCCACAGTGGGACAGGCGCTGCTGCAGTG